ATGCTCAGCCCGTTGGCCGCCTGTTCCCTAGCGCCCTCCCCAAGGTTTTTCTACCGTGCATCAGGGATATAACTGCCCAATTAATCAGGACGCTACCCCTCATCTATCCCGTTTCTTGGCCTCGGAGTCTCGATGGCAAAGTGAGATCGACAGAAGGGAAGAGCAAAAGCCGTAGGAAGAAACAGCGTCACGTCTGGCTGACAGCTTAATCGCCGTTGATGCTTTGGTATCGGTATCGACACAGAACAGAATAGGAGCTATACGAGCTTAGTTAGATGTCAGATCTCCTCCTGAGCGACGCGCAGGACAGGGCGGGAGGGCGTAAGCAGGAGTGTAGTTCAAGCTGAGTAGCGCTGCACGGCAAGAGGTGTCTGATAAAAGTTGCGCCGAGGGGATCTAGGTGAATGTTGAACAGGGCAACAGGAAAACTAGGGCATCGGCGAAGGCGGCCGCTGGCGACGACGGCGTCGACCAGACACGTCACACAGAAAAAAGGAACGCTTGCTTGAGAAGAAAGCGCAGGCCGGGTCGTCGCATAGCAACGTCACCGTCACTAGTTGCCTTCCTGTTTTTACGGGAGGGGGATTTTGCGCAGTAAGTTTACACACGATGGGAAAACAGCGATACCTTGTGTTAGGCAACAATGAAGACAGCCGGTTAATTTACCCTGGCTAAGCTCTTGTTCCTCCATCTCTGCCTACACAGCTATAGGTTGACGGAAAGGCGAAGACAGGCAACAAAGGATAAAAGTAGGGGGAAAAAGGTGAATGGGGAGCTGACAACCTGATGAAGCTGGCCCTCAAGCCGCCGCCTTTCTTTCCACACAAACACGTACAAACGTACTACACGCGCAAATACAGCGACTTTGCGTTTCCGCCCTTATCTTTACTTACGCAAGGCTACTGATCTAAGAAGCTTCAACGTGTCTTTTCTTTCGACGTCGCGCAACTAGAGTACTCCACTTGTAAAGATAGTGCAAGGAGGGCGGACGGATGAAGTAAAGGGAAGAAGTAGCAAATAGATCTTGCCAGACTAGAGCGTAAAGCAGTCAACCTAGGGTAACACGTTTATCTTGTATACGGGGGCCTTCTCGAAGCATTACACTAGTAGGACACAAAGAGTGCGGTGGTCCCTGTGGTACTCACTCCGAATAAGAAAAACATTAGAACTCAGCTATAGTAAGGACAAAAGACTACAAGGTGAAAAAGGGGTAGGCGTTTGATGTCGTAGGCTGCCTATAATAGTGGCGAATCTACTGCTACTACTTACCATCACTACGACAGCAGCACCGTCGCCAACCAGCACACCTGCCTTTAAGTTCCCAAGCAAGGCTACTGCCGTTGAAACCTACGGCTATCGCTAATACCACAAAGGAGTTTAGTTGCTAGCCGACTGATCTCAATCGCAGAACGCGCAGGAACAAGCAGGCTTCTTAGCTGCCTACTGCTTGCTGTCCTACTGCGCGTAGACCGTTCATTGCAACTGAAAGGGAAGTACCCTGCTCTGTGCTTTTTCCTACTCGGCAAGAGGTTTGTAATTGTCAAATGCGGGGGCATCAGGCTCATACAGGGATACAGCCACGGAGCGACCGAGAGTGCGACCGTGGTGGAAAGTCAGGTCGCCGCTTATCATGCCGTTGTGGGGGCTGGCGCCTGTAGTGGCTATGGCGCTGGCAATAGTGATGGCGGTGGTCGACGCCGACATCGTAAAGAGATCCTCGTTAGTCTTTTCACATTATCCTTCCTGCTCCTTCGTCTGCTACTAGGTTAGCTGCTGTCTGCTTCCGTCGTTTCCTCGTCTTATTGTTGGTCTTTCTATCCTTCGCGTGTTGTTGCCCTGTGGGGTTCATTCCCACTCGCGGCTGTTTCTTGGCTTCGAGGCGGCTCGCCAGCCGCTTGTCTAATTGCTGCTGCTTGTGCTGTTTCGCCTTCTGTGAGATTAATGAACTGCGCCAACTGCTTTGTCACTTCGAGATCAGCAATCCCCTTTAGGAGTGCCTCCTGTGTACACTCGTTACATTCATTCGATGTTCGCTTCCAGCCCAACAAGAATGGCTTTTGCGCTCTTTTACCTGACTCTTAGATCTCCTGTAATTCTGCTAATCTTCTACCATGGCCCTGTGTCGTGTGGATAGAAGCACGCAGATGAAAGTCTATATACAAGTGCCTTGTAAGAAATATGCTTACCGGTGACCTTCCTGTATGTAGCATAGTGCGTAACTAAGGAGACCGACGTCATCTGCGAGTTAATGTTAGACTGCAGCGTGTAACTTCGTGACCATTAGATGTTCAACTATACACGTATAAAATAAAAGAATCAAGCTCTTGTTAATCAAATCATCTTCTAAATAACCAACGATGTGTATTATAGATGATCTAGCTTATTTTCGCTAATTTCGAATGTTATGAATAAAAATCGGCGACACTGTAGCTTTTTTTTTGCAAGGACTACCTCATAGGTTCAACCTTGATCCCATAATGCCCAGATGCAGCGGTAATTAGAAAGAACATCCGCATTTTTTGTAAGTATTCCAAAAATATTCTAATTTAATTCAGGATATGTTTTAGAACTACATTTTTATAACGACATGCCATAAAATATATGTAGGACATTTGATTTAGAGATTTATAAATAAGTATATACAGTTGTTTAATTAGTGGCAATATTTTCGAAAATAACTCTTGTCTTGTAGCTAACATTAATAAACAAAAAAAAAGAACACAGTTTAGATCATTGTTACACACCGAGTATACAATAGAGCCGTCTTCCTTAGTATTTGTATATACAGGACTTCTGTACAGTATGCTAGGCTACGTTGGCTACTATCATCAGGTTCCTTTATCCTATGGATAGCTCTGATCCTTAGCGAAACAGTTTCGTTCTGTCCCTTCTACCTATCTCTGATATAAAGATCAGGGATTTAGTAGGTTGGCTAGTCTGCGGGGCCAAGTCAAGCCCTCGGCGCATCTTAATTGCGGCACCAGGCAATCAGCGGCGTCAAGTCGTCCGAAACGACGAGAAGAAAAGTCTTCTTAACCCCCGCGTCTCCACTCTTTCCCTCTTTTGTCTGGTCACTTCTTCAGTCCTTCCGTGAATCTCTCCCACCCTATATCAGTGGAGAATTAAATCTGAGAGACCCGTTAGCATTCCCTAGCACAGTCGTTCGTCCGTTTTGGGCTCGATGGTCACTTTTGAATCTCAGAAAGGAGAAAACTTGTTCGGGTTCTGCGTGTGCAAGGCGTATATCATTACATTAAGTCCTCTTCTGTGGCTGACGATGTTTCACGCCTATTCAAATTATGCATTAAGCTCTAGCTTAGTACTCCGGCTTACGTAGCAGGGAGATGGCCTGGTGTGCGAAGTCATCGATCTATTATTGATTGTCAACAGCGTAAAACTCGGGCTGCTGGTTCCTCAAGGAACTACGAGAGAAGCCTGCGGCGATTTGTCTAAGCAGCAGGCCTACTTCATTCATAAGGAATTTTTTTGAGTGCTTTTTTTTAGGCAATATCTTGCACCCTGGCACAAACGAAGTGGCACGGCAGACAGGGTGTCAGAAAGATAGGGCGCTGCTGATGGTGATCGCGCTGGCGTTGCCGTCACAGCAACGGTCAAACCGATCATATGAAATGCAAATATCAAAGTTGGTGAACCTCTCCACCCCACATAGGGATCGCCTTTTCTTCGGTTTGCAGGAGCCTTCTTCAGTTCTTTCGCTAGCTCTCCGCAGCTATTAGAGGCAGGTTTCTTGTGGCAGTCCTGCCAAGTGCGCTAGTGTTTCTGACACTACCTCCGGAGAGCTCTAGCTTGTGATTGACTTCCCTTCATATTTATGCTAACCATAACGTTAATTCAGAATAGAACAAGACAGTTTGGTTGGTTACAGCAAGAAAACAGCGAGACGACTTTGTTCCAACACCTCCTGTTTCTACTGTTGGTTAATAAGAATTAACCACTATTTACGTTTTTTTCTTTTTTATATATATGTTCCGTGATACACAGAAGCAAATAGACCTCATGAAATGCAGGCTTGAACATATAGGTCGGTTGTATATCGAAAGGTAATCCCTTAGAAGAGCAGGATATGATAGCAGCGAATCGCGCATTACTTCACCTTTAGCGAAGTGCAATTCTGTCTAACTGAAGAGGTTTTCGCGTGCAGAATAGTCTGTTCCTACCAGAACAGACGCTTCCAATCGGGTTCAAAAAAGCATTACGGCCAGGTAACTGCTCTGGTTTCTAGCAAACCTTACGTGAGCGTCAGCCTTTTTCGATCTCTGGCTGACAGCGCAGTTAGGCGAAGGGCAGTAGCTATGCCATGGGACAGCCTCGGTCGAATTAGGCCGAGTAGAGGACAACCCATGGGAGTGCCATAGCATGGCCATGCACAGACCGTATAGGATGGGGACGACGGTAGGTAATTCATTATAGTGGGATGGGGGCAAAAAAGGGCGAATGAACGAAACTTGCCAAGCTATGCCGTCCCCAGATCAACAGCGGCGTTCTGCACCAGCACCAAAATGAAGGGTCGGCTACCTAACACAGTGGTGTGTAGGTACCCAACCAGAACACCATGACTACTAAAATTCACGGAGTTTGCTGTTAATCTGAAGACGCTATGAGGTGCGAAATGTTTGAGCACTCGCCAAATCAGTAGGCGCCGATTAATCGAGCCATCTTTGGTAGCTGCTGTTTGTACCAGATCCAGGCGCTGCCAGTACAGACTAGCAGATAGGCTCAGTTAGCTAGAGAATCTCCGAAATAGATCAGGAACTATCTTTGTACGAGTATCTAGCTTCGCCTGTGTGCGCGTATCTCGATCGTATCCCGGGTAGCTGACGGCTGACTGGCTGCTTTCGGGAACGCTGTCCCTACATGTTCTATCTTATTGCGTGTCGCACATCGAACCATGTATAATAGCACAGTGTGCGCACTAGTGTGTCTCTACCCGATCGATGCTAATCTCGTTTGCTCTTCCGTTCGTGACTGTTTTATTTCAGGTTCGGCAGCTTGTAGAGCGTGCGCTCAACCGGAGAATTCCGAAAGCCTGTTGGACAACTTCTGTCGCGCCGATTTCGGTGAGTACAACCCTAATATTCGTTTTCTAATCTAACCCATTAACACCAGTCATCGTACCCTTTTATCTTAATCGCGCAGAGTTTAATTCGGCTGTCTGATAATGTAAACAAGGCACCTTTTCCACAGAAAGAACGCCTCGAATAACGTGGCATATACATCACACAGGTGTAGGTCAGGGGAAAGATAATTGCAATCCGACTATGATCCGACGAATTGCTACCATGTTTGCTGTTCGGCTAACCTTGAGTCAACCGCTTGACTTTTTATTTTGGGTCTAAGCATAGGTTTTTTTTGCTGTTCTAGCTTTTTCAATGATAACTTTGTATTTTGACATTTAACACCATACCATGATTAAATTTGACAGATTTGAGTCAGTCGGCTATAATATAGTATACTATCTGTACGGCGGCTGTTCTCAGAGAGACGGGTTGATAAAAGTCAAGAGTCACATAACGTAGCTAGACACGAACTACCTTTCGTATCTGCTCATGTGCTGAAGCTAAATGCCGCCATACGGAAGCTTGTTTTTAGCAGTTTTATCATGCTACATAGTGACACATACAGTCGCATTACAGTTCACCTACTTATTAAAATAGCTCTTAATTTCCACCATTACTGCATTTTGAAATAATAATAATAATTGTCCACTTTAGCCCCACATCAGTCTTACACTAGCTGTTTTCTTAAATTTTTTTTTTTTGTTTTTTACTGGCCTATAACCCTACGATCGGCTAAGGTCATATCAGGTTAAACAGAACAACTGACAACGAATTGTTGTGCTGCATCCAAACTTGCATGTGCCCTCCTATCAACCTTGTGACCGGCCTCTTTCAGGCTGCCCCTTGTAAGCTTTCACGCCACTCCCCTCAAACAAAGAAAACGACGCAGAACGGACAGCAGCTGCCGCAGCAGAAGGAGAGAGGTGCGGGTGGAAAGAGCGTCGTGCTCTACGAAAGCCGCTACGTGTTGGGTTGACGTGCTGCCGGAGCAAACGGGCGTCACGAAACAAATAAACCAGCGTGTAAAGGTCGAAGGGAATTTCCAGAGTTGCTTCTCTGCTGCTGATACTACCTTTACCGACGTCGTTATTGCCCAGTTTTGCTTCTGTAGTTTACGGCAGGGCAGTTCAGCTAGTAGTGGGTGGTCGGTTCTTCGGAGTTTGCGGAAGCAGCAGTCGGCCGGCCGCTGTTGCCGCGCGATAGTACGTACGGCAAACGGATCTGTAAGCAGTTGAGTTACCGGCAATCGTCTATAGACGTGCCCTTTAGCTCTCTTTTTCTTAAAGTTCTGTGAGGCCAAGCCAAGCCGCATCGCCCATAGCATAGAAGCTACGTTCGTGTTACTCGGCGGCACTCAGTGAAAGCGCGTTCAAAGAGAAGTAAAGGGCGGACGAGAACGGCGGGAACCTGCGGGGGTATTGTGGGTCGAGCGCCGCAAAAATTGCTACTTTCTCCCTTCATTCTCATCGGCTTACCCCGGTCGCTGACTCCCTTAGCCCTCGACCGGTTTTGCAAGCGGCGTTTCAGCGTTTGTACAACAATGGAGCGCAGCGGTAGCAGTAATGGTGGTATAATATGTTGTTGCTTTGTATGGAGAATACCGACAACGTTTACATCGCTGACGACGGCAGCGAGGTCGATGATGATAGCGGTATAGATCATTTATCGAGCTTCTTTGTTTCCCGTTTTTATAGCTGATTCAATAGTGTGCGGCGATAGGCCGTTAGCTCTGCGAAGGTCGATAAAAATAAATAGAATTATACCTAGAATATACTTTCAAGTAACAGCACTCGTGTAATTTTTCTCGTCGTTGTTGTTGTTGTTGTTATTGTTTTTGATGTCAATGGCGGTTGCACTGCTATTGGTCCTTACGGATATATTTGTCCGATTTACGCAGTTGCAAGGTCCTGTACGTGTTGAACTTCGGTTTTGGCCCAACAAATTAGGTGACAGAAACGAACCTAAAAAGGCGGACGTATTGAATGGTCTTGTCCCTCCAACATCAATCGGTTCGTGAAATCGGTTCGCTGCATCTATGTCATCTCTCTGTTTCTCTCTTTCCCGCTATTGTTCAATGTTCGCTATTTTGTGCTTCTTTGCGTGACTTTTGCCGTCAGGCCCAGTTGTACCTGCCAGCGTCGTGCGAACTACTAGAGGAAACTATGAGCTATCCAGTTAACGCTTGGCGACTCCGAAACTTAGGAAAATAGAACAACGATCTGCACATGGCAGAGGGTGGTCCCGGCAAGCCAGCCGACCGAACTTTGGCGTTCCGCGCATTTTCCCTCACAGCAAGGAGGCAACATATACATGCATAGACCGCGAAAAGCTCAGAAAGAAAGTCATAATAACCTAACAAGCCATCGACGCATGGCAGCAGTCTCACATGGGTCACTCAGTCAGGTCGTGATTCCTCCTTTCTTTTAGAATGGAAAGCATTCCACTACATCTGAAGCATGCCTCTGTTACTAGTATACGATCCATCATTTCCTTCTCGCCGTCTGTGCATTTGCCTTTTTATACCGGATCCGCACCCGAAGGAACTCCACGCAAGTTCATTTTGAACTCACTATCGTTCAAAGAGAACTCATCGTCTCTTAGGGAATGGGACAGGGCGAGCAATGGGGAGGATTCCCCAGAATTAGGAGGGAGGAAAAGGCGACCAGTTGAATACCCTGTGGACATGTTCTTGTCTTTTTCTACGCCTGGTCCCTCAGCTACCGTGCAATTCCGCTCGAGGCATCTAACCCGCCAACAGACCTGCACTATACTTCATACTGTTGATAGGAAAAAGACATGGATGCGGTGGCTTCTACGCCCTCCAAACAGCCCATGTGATTGAGCTGCCTAGAGCTGGGCACGGGAGCAGAACTCCTGAGCGGTACCTGATCTCCTGAGCCCAATGTTTCTCGGTTTGGTACCGTCGCATTCTGTGAAGCGATGCTTCAGTAATAGGTGGATATGTACGAGCCAACATAGAGACTCAATATAAATAGATTCATGTATCCAGTGATACCTTGACGTTAAGTTTGACATAACACCTGCATATTTGAATATTATTCACTCACATGTAGTTGTTCTTCGACATTTTTAGTCATTCGTGCTCGTTCTAGACGGGTGAAAGGAAGTTCTGTATTGAAGACAAAAACAAGTCGAATCTTTAAGCTGACCGAAAGCATTATAACGAAAAAAGACCTCAAGAGTCCGGAGTTTCGTAATGCCAACATGAGCGATTGCTGTAGCAATCTCGACAGGAAAGTCTCCAAACGAAACCCACATCTCCTTATAATGGGTAAGACAAATATGTTATTTTACAAACTTTTTTTAGCCATGCGATGTGCCATGTTAATGAACGAAACGTGTGCTATGCGTGAAAACACTACGTTATATATACCTTAATTGGTTAGGGCATTGTATGTTGTAGTAGCAGAACGCAAACTTGCCTAGTTAATCTACGTAAACAATCTTTAATGGAAGGCAGACTATTGGGTCGTATTTATGTTCACCCGACAGCACTTTAAGATTTGGATTTGAAGAACTGGGTCACCTATTTACGTTTTAGTATGACACGGAACAAAACCTCACCCTTAATCATGCGCTTATATAGTCAAACTATTAATTTAGCTCTGCGCCCGTGTATGCTGCGCCATAGATACAATTTAGCAGTTCTCTTGATTACTATTAGCTACTTGTGAAACAATTGATTGAATAATTATAGGCACCCGCGACGGTGATGGAAACCTCGTGCCAACGTTTCTCATGGAATGGAAACGCGGATCACCATCATTCAAAAAGTCAATCAAAATGATGCAAAAGATCAACTGTGCTCATTCCGCGATCGTTGAACACAACCCACTTGATCCGGTTACTGCTCGTAAGAGTCTCTCTAAAACAAGTTCTAAGGACAGACAATTTGTTCGAAAGAACAGTGAGGAAGACGATGGATCGGCCGAAGCCAGACGCCGAGAGAGTCCTCCATCCTCTCCGAGGATACAATTCGACCTTTCCGAAAATTTCCGACGCGAGATGGAGCTACATAATATTGCAGCTGAACAAGAAAGAGCTTACGAAGAACAGATGAAGCAACGAGAGAAAGAGCGTAAACGCAAGGAGAACCGACGCCGAAAGGGAGATCGTAGAGCTAAAGCAGGAATGACAGCGCGCGCTGACGAGGCTGGATCAGGTATTTATTCAGTAGTCCATAAGTGAAGTGCGATAACGCTGCTTTTGTTAGGGCATTTTTGGAGAACCTCCCAATTCACAAATGCCCAGTTTTGGCTATGCAAATGTCGTTCATTTGTAACAGTCAAAAGTAACATGATCCAAACAACGGGCCAAAACTTATTTAAAGTTCTTGATTTTAATTGAAAGTTCTTTAATGCAGTAGATTTTTACATGGCAAAAGAGTACTTTTCATGGTAAGAGGAATGACCTCGTAATTGTTTAAATATTTGACATACGAATTACCTCTGTATAAAGCTCTCCCCGCTAATGTTTCAGAAAAGGAACAGCAGTCAGTCCAAAAGGCTCCGAAGGGTCGAGGTCGCGATCACAAACGAAAAACGACCACAATCACGACAGCTGCACTCGATACAGAGAAGACCGATGAGCAGACGAATGCACCGCCGCCATCGGCATTTACTGATACGCCCCACCTGAAAGAAGGACACAAACCTAGCCATGATACACGTGAAAATAGGCATGTTCACAAGGACTCTTTGGGCGAGCTCGAAATGGTTATCGATTCGGTTGAGCCACATGGCCCGCTCAGGATTGAAAAAAAGATCCGTCATGAAGAGACTAAGACCTACCACCACAATGGCCGGGTCCACATGCATAAGCTTGAGGCAGTTGAGAACAAACCCCATCACAGTGAACATCATGGCACAGAAGGATACCGCCATGTGCAAGATCATTACGATCCCGTAGAGGAGAGTCATGACTATGAATCGGCGAAAAATAAGCATAGCGAAGCTGTCACCGCCGTTGCCGCTGCCACTGTCCATCATCACAACCCGAGAAGTGAACATGCAGTAGGCCTCACAAGCGAATCGGCGACGATTCACATGCCAAGTGAGAAAAGCATGATTGAACTGGCTGGCGAAGATCCCTCTAATCGGCCATTGCATCGGCCGCATCATAGTGAAGACAACAAACCATCAGTAAAAGTTGCCGAAGAAGGTGAGATAGTTACGACCCAGATGCTTGATGAGGAACCTCGACGCACATCACCCCATCCAGCAGACCATGAGGTACGTCACCGCGATGAGCACGCGCATCCTCATCGTCATGGGGGGCATGAGCAGGACTCAGCGAGGTCGGAATCTCTCCCTACAGCCGTGAATGCCGAGTCGGAGTACGCGGGAACGGTAGCGCCTGTGAAGGAAGCTTTTCTGACCGTGCTGCCAATAATTCCCGATGAAATTAAGGAAAAAATCGATGACGTCACAAACGACGATAGCACCGACACGTCTCATATCAATGAGACGGACGAATTAGCGCCGGCTGCATTGGATCAGCCAGCAACCGCTTCTCATTCCGCTATCCTCTCTTCAACAACAGCTCCGGCAATGACGACGGCATCATCTACAACGGAAGGTCTATCAGGTAGGCGATAGGTTGAGAGCTAGACGGAAAAGTTTCTCGGTATTAAATGTGGAAAACCTAATTGACAGTAGTTATTTTCAGAGTAGTTTCTCTGACTTTTGCTCTAGTGGGGCGATGATCGTTTATTCGATCGTCCTTAGCTGTACTGATACGAAACGCCTATATTAAGCGAAAGAAGAATAGTCTGTCACCTCTTTAGTGTACGCATGCACGGTTGTAGCTCCTGACATAACGTATAACGGAACCTCCTTCGAATGCTAACATTGTGTTATTTTATATCTGCATTACCCTCATACTGACAACGAAGATCCTGCTGGTGTAAAAACAAAGGAAGGCACGAAGCGAGGCCGAAAACGAAAAAACGGACGAAGGCGGCACCACAGGAAAAGGAAGGATGAGGAAGAAGCTGGCACTCAGGACGAGTTCGAGTAGGCACTCAGGACAAGTACGATGTGGTATGAGCTGAGCTGAGCTTAATGTGTCGGTGAATTGCAGAATACTTTGAGTGAAAAACAATACCAGAAGTGGCAACGAAAAGCAGATAAAAGGAATATAAAAGCATTCGACACAACGATTGAATAGGCGAAAACTCAGAGCGGAACTGACCGTTGGGCAGAAACAGTGGGAAAGTGTGTGGTGATTGTTGCTCGCACAGCGCTGCGACGCCAAAAGGCTTCCCATAGTCATAGAGCTGGCGCATTGGACACAAATAGATAGAGCGAGTTTTATACTGGCCACACTCTGTAGAGTTCTTTTCTGAAGTGAGTCCAGACGTTGACAAGGTTGAAGGTAAAAAACGACAAAACAAGCCTAAAACTTGAACTTGTATACCTGTGCCGTGTCGTCTTGTACATATCATCTTGTCTCCTTTTTGCTGGGCGCAAACCGAAGGAGTTTGTACAGTTTTGCGCAGATTAGTGGGCTTCAACTCAGGATTCGTTCCGTCAAACACTATCGGTCCACTTTCTCCCCGACCGACCACGATTCCAGAGGAACAATACAGATCAGGGGAATCGACTTAATTCACTTTTCCCATTCACACTATTGAACACTCGAAGGCGATATTAACAGTGACGATGATGATGATGATGATGATTAAAATGACGCATTAAAAAAACTGTCACAGTTTGTTATTTTCAAGCCCTGTATATTTATTGTTTTTTTTTTTAATACTCAGTTTGCAGAGAGTGCACGAAGGCGTACGACTATTTAAAGGCTGGCGTCTTCGCAAAGAACATATCAACATTGTACTACTAATACCGTACGGGACCGCCAGTAAGGCAATCGTTGAATGAATAGGCATCAGTCTATTGCTACTGAACTCGCTTTTCTAGACGATGGTGATAACAGAATTGATAAAAACAATAATAATGGTCAGGATGACAAGGAACGGAGAGCAGACAACGCAGAAAAACAGAGGCGCGACAATAACACTTAAAGACGAGAAAAAAAGAGATGAAATACAAGAATATAGGAAGTGAGTAATGAAGAGGATCGTAATGAGAGACAAGAGGACAGCAACTACCCAAATGTATACAGTAGCTAGATGCCAAATAAACGTGCATTTACATAGTGGAATAGTGTTTTATATGAAAATGCTCTGTGTATGTGCACTGTGTAACATAGTATTTTGTCGCTGGATGGAAGATCTTGAGTTTAGACATACAAGCTAAATATTCACATAATTGCATGTATACGTGGGTTGCTACTTCAGTGCCTACTCTTGGCTTAATGTTAGTAGGAAAAAAATGGCTCAAAATTTCTATAGCTCGTCTTCAAGCTTACATAGGCCGAACAATGATACACGTTAGGCAATTGTATGAACCGAATTTAGTTGTCGGACCAAAACCACAACGCCGGTACAACTCCGTCGAGATAAAGGTGGACTACTTCGACTATAAACTAATTTACCTCTATATGCTCGTAAAAATATTATCTAATTTCGTGCACACTTTGGTTACCGACTATGGATCGAAAAGCTTTACCCTACATCTGACGCAAGCGTAAGTACACTTCTAGCGTGCTTGTAAAGCAAACGAAATTGAACCCATTGTAGTTCACTTTCCTCTAATGGTTCGCCTAGGTATGCCGGTAAAAGAATAACCAATTTGGCCAATATAACGGAGAGAAAAGTACATTTATTCTCTGAAGCAACAGCAAAAATGCCCCTTAAACCAGTCGGTAGAAGCTTTCCTGTAAGTTAGTTCAAATTTGAAGACAAATATTACAATAGCTTAGCGCTGACTTGGCCGTTCGAAAACTCCGGAATAAGTACTAGCAGGGTCGACGTTTTTAAGGTAAGTGAGTACTTATACCAACTGGAAGTGAAGACAGGTTAGCGCTAACTTCCGCTGGAGATTTAGAGAGTTTGCTAAGAAATAGGCATACGCCATTTCCATGTCTCATCTTCATCGTGGCTCCCAACTATAAAATGATACCGTTTCCTGGTTGATAGGGGCTAAGATGCCTATGCTTGTCGCTACTTTCTAAAAAAACAACGACGCATATAGCGCAGCGCGTTCAATACGTCCGCGCCGACGACTTATAGCTATAACCGTGTTTTTATGCGCTCATTTGGGTCTCTCATTAAAAGGCAAGTGTATTTATGGTATCTAAAATATGAGTTATGTTAGACGCACATTCGTATATGAGCATTAAAAGAGAGTGAACATGCGTTTATATAATGTCGGGCAAAAGAATATACCTATACACACCCAAAAAGGATTAAATTCTGTGTTTCCATTTTCATGATTAGACAAATACGCATATATGTAAGTGCGCTTATAGTCTTTATATACGTCGGCTTTTTGAAAAAGTGCGGGCTAACAACGTCAGATAGTTCCTGTTGTGTAGTTGTACATTTTGACGTCTATATAACGTATTGCTGTTAGAGTAGGATCAAAGCATTCTAAGGCATGATGTATTTATTACTACGGAATGGGATCATCTACTAAAAAGAGTCATAAATTTGGCACATGCTTCGTACCTGCTATGTAGGTCGTGATGTTTTTATTATAGCACTAGAGATAAAAATACAAGCAAAACATGTCTTCTTGGAGGACCAAACAGTGGGTCCCATCATTTATCTAACTACACTTCACTACAGAAGATTGTTCAAGGGTCTAGGCAACTACGGCATCCGCTGCTAGAAAGCTTTTGACGTAGGCAAGACCGTCAAGCAAGTTACTACCACAGTAGATCTAGTCGTCTCACTATAAGATGGATGCTTCATAAGTATAAAACTTTATGTATCACATTATTTGATGATTGGTACGTGCAGCAATTTCTCAGGCACATAGGTCATCATGGCGTAAGGTTCCATATTTTCAATGTAGCGGAGTCACGAATACGTTGCACACGACCTACTCTCCATTAACGCCAGAAGTGAGCTTTTACAGGGAACAATCTTTGTCCAGGTTTAAATCAGATACGATAAAAAAAGCCACGCACTCGGACCCCTCCCTTCTTTGACGACTGGCTCACATAAGCACTGTTTATGTTTCTCTTTCGCGTCCATCATTTGCCCTGGCATAACTCAGGCACATATCATTTCTGCTTTGCCACTACCAGACCACTGGGAAAGCAATCTCATCGTTTTAAACTCTCCGTACACACAAGCACTGAGACTTTGAACTCTTTCGTTCTTCTGCCCGTTTCTTTTTTCTTTTGCTGCGTTCTATTATATGGCTGTTTTGTGAAAGATTACACTTGTTCGATGAAGCAGTGGTCCCTGCGTTGAGTTTTTTCCAGTTCGACCAGCAAAGATACCCCGTTGCACCCGCACCGGTCTGTGGTGTTCCGCCTTACGACAATACCGATAGCGGTGCAAAAGATCTAGTCTCGTAGACCGTCAGGTCCAATCCTGTGTGCTCTGTTCAATGCTGACACCGATGTGCTTTAGCTAAGCCGCACCACAATAAAACCGGCAGCAGTGGTGATACTAGTAAGAACGGTGCTCCAGTGCGATGCATCGGGCATCGACCACGCACGTATTTGTTGTTAATAAGAACGAACCCCTTTGGTTCCCCGTTTCTCTTTTTCTTTATTCCTCTTGTCTATAGAAGGGCCTATTTCGGATTTCGAACCTAGGTATGGCGAACTCGGCCTATTTCAGATTTTTTTCTGAAATTCCGGTAACTGAATATCAAATAGCTAGAAAGAGACGGAACCTCGAGAAGAGAAGCCTATCCGAAGCTCGCAACGTGTGGCGCCCGGATGGACGAGAACAACGGGATAGAGAAGCGAAGAGTGGCCAAGAAAACGTGCCAACTACCGCCAGCCTCCGGCGAGCCACCAACAAGCGAATGTACTTGCTTAATGCGGCCGCTCGCTAGTTACATTAGTGCAAGAAAGAGTCCGTCTATTATAAATTACGTTAATTATTTCCCAACACCCGCCAGAGTCAGATATAGACTCAACCGGCGTGGCCGGAACTGCGTGCTACGAGGAAGAGAATGGGGAGAGGAAGAACACGAGATAAAACGAATAGAGACAGAAAGTAAGAGTCAAGGAAGAATGAAGACGTCCACGCTGCTGCCGTCGGAGCGGTCAGAACTAGTTCACGGGAGAGGCAAATGCATAGGTTAGTGTGCAGAGCGCAAAGCTGGGAGCGAAGCAGCCTTCTAGCTGTCCCTAGCCTGTCCGAAAGTAAGTACAGGAAGAAACCAAATTAGGCCAACATTATTTGGCCTACGCCACCTTCTCAGGTCTGACAACAAACGACCTGTTTGACAGACCTGCGTTATTTTCTGTTTGCTGTTTTCGTTACGATCCTAGTTGCTATGCCCTTATGGGGCACAACCACTGGCCAAGTAACCTTGTTGAAGAATTAGGCAACTCGAAAAGCGGATGAAAGTCCGTATCTGTGCACGTCAAGAACATGAACTCATGACCAGTTTCCTTCTTACTATGTCGTTGTATCTGTGTCTATCTTTCGCTCCCGAATTATTTTATAAGAGCTTTTGCTATGCCATTGCTCGAAAGAAATAAAAAGGCTGACGTGAGCGCGCACAATGCATTTGTGCTCATTGAAAAGCATCGGAGATCATTGTTTAGTCTAAGGGGAAAGAAACTGCCCAAAACCCGACAGTATATGTTAAACATCGAACAAACGGTATATCTCCTTAGTGTGATAAAGCGTATATATACTGTGGTACTAGGGCTGTTAGGACGTGCACAGGATCCGTACCTCTGTACCTCGTAAAAATGCAGTGGCATAAATATCTAATGTATGTCTAGGTGGAGATCAAGCAAACAGCATCCCAGATAGTGTAATTAGGTATCAAAAGTACCTATGTCATGCAACTATCTTTATCGTAAGTGTTAGTTCCGGATGCTCAAATTCACTCGATTTATATGAGGCCCGAAATTTTTATTTAACGTACGGTTTATCCTAGTAGCGTCTATTGCTGTGACAGCCAATAATAAATACTTGCACATTTAAATAAAACTAATATAATTAAGTGGAAGGGCACAATCAAGTGAAACTCTTTGGATGCCTGAACGTAATACCAAAAGTTGAATGAATAATGATGTTTCGTAGTTGTCTTTTAATGTACGTGTATTTCCGTCTACTTCAAGAACGCGGCTTGACGATGCGTTCTACGTTTATAATTAATTGCAGAACATAAGCAGATTTATATAAAAATCTTCGCTACGACGTTATGGCTTCGTCGTTGTCATCAGCTCCTTCCCTGCGTAACATGAAAGTTGTCATAAGACTCTATGCGGGCATATAATTCCTGAGACTGAAAAAAAACTTACGCGAATATACTGGGTGACAGTAACTAGTTCTTTATAGTATTTATCTCTTAAATATTCATTTTAACGCCTTTCAACCAACTATATAAAGATTTATATATATATATATATACATATATATAAGATATATAAAAAATAAAGATTTTCCTTGCATTGCCGTGTCAATTGGCGCAATGGTTACTCCGGGCGACGGCTGGTAGCGGACGGAAGGGATGAGTGAAGCCAGTAGGCACAAACAAGCACATCACCTCTAAAAGCTTTCACATCGGCTCACAAAGTAGTCCGACTTGCGATAGAAAAGTGTCTGCTGTCCATTATGTCGTAATGGCCCAGGCCTCTGTTACTGTAGCAATGCACGCTAGCAAGCACGACAGCGTTCAGCGACGGCAAGCGCTGATCCTTACCCCTGTTTCGTTCTAATCCGCGTCCATAAATGTTGTTCCGGCACATCGGGAACCGTAGTACACGACAAAGTATAGCCTCCATCCACGACGCAGGATTCTTCCTCATAAGCGCGTGGGCAGAAAAGGTGGATTACCGGTAAGTATTGCTACACACATGCAAAGAAATCCAATAGTTTTACTTCACCACACGGATACCGTGCACCCTTCCGCAAAGCGTATCTGAAACAGGAAATAGGTATTGATCGCTCGAAATGTCTGATACTAACTGGGGTATTTATAAAACGTGTAAAATAATGATATCTTGTTTTTGAGTGCTACTAAATAGAGAAGACCAACTTTATGAAAACTTTAATTGTTAAAAGAAATGGGTTTAGAAAATACTCATACGCATCAACGGTAGAAATGCCTAAGTATATTGTTTGTTTTACATTTTTACAGTGTACTAATATTTCCAGTAGTGTTGGTGCACGGGTGCTGTGATAGAGGAAATCATTTATAGAATCCTAAGTATAGTTTATGACAAATACGTCTATTGTAATCATTATGCGGTCAAACAGAGAAATTTCTAAGCTGCAAAATAATAAATCATTATATCGTCGTATTCGTGCGCTGTTATATGATAATGACGTGGCCTTCTTTTGGATAACAGCATTGTTTTTGCTCGACGGCTTCAAGTAGAAATCTTGGAGCACCAACAGTTGTATCGATAGAAATTAAGGAATGATTAACATGTCCTAATAAAAACTCAATTCTGTGAAAACTGAAAGCATAATGAAGGCGGAGCTCATTTGTGGGCCAATCACCCTGATTAGTAGCCAGGAAATCCTCTGTATCGTATGCCTCTGGCAAGCGAATTTGATGCAGCGGAAGCATCTGCCAGACGGCATCTAATTTCGATGGAAATAGTTTAGCCGATCATAGCAGAATACCAATGGACTTCGTTGCGGCTCATTTGAGGCGCACGCGTCTCTTCGGCTGCCGAGTGATAAGGCTCACCAGAAGCGAAATGAAATAGCCTTTTTCAATCCTGTCAGGCTTCTTCTGCTACAGCGATCGAAAGTGGCAGATCGTGTCTGTCCCTTATAGCATTGACCAGTGTGTAGATAAGATTCCAAGAGCAATATTCCGCAGGCTTACCGGTCGTGATCTCATTCCGCTTTTTGGATTTCAGCTATGCTAGCTACCGTTGTAAACCTGGACACGATACGAACGAGCGAAGAAACGATATCATCCAGTGTGTTGCATGGATGCTGACTGCTCAGCGCATATAGATTAAACCGCTCATGCATGTATTTTGGGGTACAAACACTTAACTTAGCTAAGCCTAGTTAAAAGAGTCGTCATAATAAATTCAATAGATTCTGCATTCGGCCATTAAAATCAGTGGCTCTTAAAATACCGGATTTCGTCGTTTCTACTCCAGTTCATCCAAGTGCCGACCTTGACTAAAGGGAATTTCCTCTCATCTGGGCAGACTCATGATCCTCTAGTGAACTTATCTAAATCCTTATCAACTTACTAATGATTGGCTTACTCTACATCAACTTACGATTGCGTTTCATCTAATTTCGAGGACATCTTACTGACCGTTATCGTAAAGAAGGTCGCGTCATATGCGATACATATATAACAGGTCTATAAGGTAAAGAGGAGCGGACCGCTCCGAACCTCATGATATATCTAGCGGTAGACTTGATTATCAAACAGGACAGATAAGAGAAGATTTTGCTAGAACCTAGGTAGCACAACGGATCTTCAATTCGACGCG